AGAATGGGGCTCTGGACCCCCACACAGGAGAGGTAGAGAGGTTTTTATTCAGTCCCCACTAGTGTCCGGACTAATTAGTTAGATTTTCGAGTCACACTGCTGTCATAAAATGGCTAATTTGCAACTGAAAATATTCAAGAAACTATCTGTGAAGGAGAGATCGTGAGAAAGAAAACAGGCCACCAACCATAATATTTGTCATAACCCAAAAGTTGTCTTCTTTTTCACGTTCACTGGCTGTAAACTCCAGCAAAAAGTTCTGGTTGTTTGTCCACTTTTGGACTTTAGTCTTGTTCCAGAACCTGAGTGTTGCGTGCACATCCATTTAACAGATCTGACTTAATGTATGCAGATTGTTGGTTCCTTGTCTCTCAGGCAGATGCACTCCGACCTTGGAGTGACTGTCTCTGAAACCAAACCTACAGCCTTCTTACCAAAAAAATAAAAAATAAAAATAAAAAAAACAGATGTTTTTATTTACATTAAATAACAAACACCAGCCTTTATAGAGAATTAATGTAAAAAGAAAAAAAAAGTTTAATAAAAAAACTATGACTGGTTAGGAATTATTTTCAACTAAACGTGATCTAATTTCCCATTTTTATTGGTTAGGAAATATTTTCAGCTGAATATTATCTCATTGCCTGTTTGTATACTCCAGGTGCCGACCGACTGTACAAGGACATTGCTCTGATGACTGGGTTTCAGCCTCACTTCTGGTGGAAATACATGTGGAAATTTGTCACCCCTACAGTGATAATGGTAAGCTCTTTGTGCCTTTTATGTCTGCTTCAGTCATTTAGACCTGATTTAGTAAGCCCAAGAAGCCTAATCTGATTTTTTTTTAAATGCCTAAAGAATTTGGAAATGCTGACTAAAAGGAAGAAATGTATTAACTCTTCTGTAATAAGGCATGACAGAAAAGGAAATACCAGATGAAAAGGAGAAAATAAATGAGTTAGGCTTGTCAGAACGCTTTTGGAAATACCTAGATGTTCCTTAAATTATCTTTCAGATTCACGGGTGTAATTTCTTGTTAAAGATCACAGCAATCAAATACTATTCTATTTCATCCCCCCTCCCCACCCACCACCACTATCAAAAAGTCACTATTCACTTTAGCCTGCATAAAACAGTTATTTGAGGGCATGTTATGTTGGTAAATTGGCTACTGTCCAGTGTAGTTGGGTTGACTTAATTTATAACCAATAAATATATAACTCACAACTGGAGAATATGATTCACAGTCAAAGAACAGTGTCTATAATTGAAGAATATGGTTCAAAACTAAGAATATGGTTTACAATGGAAGAATATGGTTCTTAAAAGAATGATATGGTACATTATTGAAGAATAATATACAGACCTGAAGAATATGGTTCACAGTTGAAAAATATGGTTCTTAAAAGACTGATATGGTACATTGTTGAAGAATAATATACAGACCTCAAGAATATGGTTCACAGTTGAAAAATATGGTTCTTAAAAGAAGAGTATGATTCATTATTGAAAAATATGATGCATTATTGAAGAACACAACTGGAAAATTTAGTCCACAACCAAAGAGTCATCTTCGTCACGATCCTCGGCTGACAACTCCATTGGAAAGCTCAGGTAAGTTTGTCCACAACTAGACTTTCCAGGACTTGAAATTTGCGTGCACATACATTTTACAGATCTGGTTTATTTGTATGCAGACTGTTGGTTTCTCAGCTCTCAGGCTGATTTAAATAAAAACATCTAAAGATGACATTAGTCATCTTATGTGTTATGCTTGTTAGACAGGCAGTGGATCTATTCTTTTTTTTCACCAAATGGGAGCTCCGGAACCCACACAGGAAACAGGATTCTTGTTCGGATAATTTAAAAAAAATACACCCTTATATTTTCAGTTTATATGGATCTTCAGTGTTGTGACTCTTGGCCCCGTCACCTATGGCACATACACGTATCCAACATGGGCTGTTGTGATTGGTTGGTTTATGGCCGTTGCTTCTATTGTACCCATTCCGTGTATTGCTGTCATGCAGATTGTCAATGCTGATGGACCACTACTGCATGTAAGTATTATAAATCATTTGTGGTTGTCAGGGGTCGAGAGGAGGGTGCAAGGTCAGAGCACATGTGTACAGCAAGGTCATCTTAGCTGCTTTGACATACTTTCTCTTCTCTGGCAGCCAGCTGGGTTTTCCTCTCATTGCCTGATCTTTCCTTCACCCCCCATTATAATGTTATGTTGCTCTGCACTACTAAGCCCGGTGAAACTTTATTATTCTGCTGTGACTTCTCAGACTTCTTTGATCACAGACTCCACAACAGCAGGCTATCTTAGGACACTTTCAAGTTGTAAAGAATAACAAACAGTGACATAATTTTTTTCAACATCATCTAGCTCTATTATAATCATCACAGTTAACGCACTGACACAAATGTCATCACTACTACAGGTTAAACTGTCACTGGGACTATAACTGCCACCACTACCCTACACCCATATGTGTTGGCTAAACTGCAGTTGTCCAGACTGTCCGCTGGGACCTCTGGTCGACCACTGTCCTCAGCCGGCTCACAACTTGAGCTCACTTCCATTAATTTAGGTATTTCACATTGCTTCTATGGCTTGCTTGTACACGATGACAGTCACATGTTTAGTGCTCTGCTGGCAGTCCCAAATTAGAACACTACTTCCTGTGTTAAGTAAAGTAACAGACTAATTTCCTGCTATTGATGCATCAAGTATATGATAATAGACCAATCAACACTCAGTGGGTCATGTGATCAATGTCATACCGGTGTTTAAATCTGTTTAAAACGGTTTGCTGCCAACTGGCCCACAGCTGGAATTGAACTGGATATATTGAAATTACAGTGTTCTTAATCTCCAAGCCACATATACTTTAGAGTTAATACATTTGCTGATCAGGAGAGTGGTCCTCTTCTTATTTTGTTTTTGCGCATAAACTTTTCCCCTTGTGAATGCTAAAGGAATTGGGTCATGAATCTGTAGGAATTCCCTGAAAAAATATCCTTTCAAAAAAACCACCTCTGCATCCTAGGAAATTCCCTGGTATCCATTATAGACAAGGTCAGCCTGGAAGCCAAGGTTATTTTCTAAAAATTATTTCCCCCATTTTGAACACAAAATCTTTCATATGGTAGGGAAACATCTATCTACCATGGTGTCCTGCATGTCATATTCTTAATGTAACCCTTTCAGTAACAAGCAAGTGTAACTTAACCCTTTGGCCTCGGGAACACTTAAGAAAAGAAGTAGCCAACTCTGCCTTAATGCCCCCATTCCAGTCTGTTATAACTCCAAGGTACTTGAACTGGTTGACCTGCTCCAGTGCATATTGTCCCATCATGATCCTATAGGAAAAGATAATGGAAGGAAAAAATGAAGGCAAGCGAGCAAGTGGTAAATATGGATGTGATGCAAGGATAACATCATGAGTTGCATGAATGTTAGTCTCAGAGATTGTTGTTGTTGTAAATCCATCACAGATGGTGATGACCAGTCCTTTCATCCAATGGTGACTGGATTGGTGCGCAGATGGCTCATAAGCCCAGTTCTTGCAATGAAAGTTCTTGAGCAGTGTGGACAGGAAATTAAAGCTGCCTATCTCTGGTGGATTTGCTTCAGTGTCTTTCCTGGCTTGTCTTTTCTGAATTGCTGCTGCAGTTCTAGCAGCTTCATGAGCCACAGCTCCTCGATGAAGAGAGGAGTGCCAGGATGAGCGGTCACATGCAGCGACTTCCCAAGTATCAGTACAGAAGTCTTTCAGTGAGGTCTCGAGCCTGTCTTAGAAACATTTTTTCTGAGAGCATTTTCCTTTTAGTAGCTCACCATAGAACATTCTTTTTGGCAGTCGGTTGTCAGGCTTGTGGACTACATGACCTGCCCAGTGAAGCTGTGATTGTTTTAGAATCAAGTAAATACTGGACAGTCCAGCTCTGTCAAGCACTTCAGTGTCAGGGATCCTGTCTTGCCATTTTATGTTCAGTAACTTTCTGACCATGTGGAAAATAGTTCAGTTGCTTAGCATGACTCTGGTAAACAGTCCATGTTTTACATGCATAGAGAAGGACAGGCATTACGACAGCTTTGTACACTTTGAGATTCGTCTGCAGGCTGATGCCTGCTCTATTCCAGACTTTGGTACAAAGTCTACCAAATGTGCTGCTGGCTTTGAATATCCTTGTATTGATCTCTAGATCGATTTTAACTTTCTAAGCAAGTAAAATGCTAAGATTTGCAAACCTGTCAACTGTCTTGAGTAAAAAGAGTGTACATCCAATATGAAGGACAGAGCATGTTAAAGATCAATAGCAGCCAACCTTTATTGCTGATGTGGCACCTGGCTGATTGGATATTACATGTATGTGCAGTCAAGTGTGTGTCAGAGCAGTGTTCTTCAAATTTTTTACACCCAAGGCCCACCAGAACAAGGGAAACTGTTTCATGGCTCATTTGATAGTAAATGTAACAGAAATAAAAACAAAATTGGATGTTAAATCTAATGTCTCTAAATTAAAAATTTCAACTGATAGGACAGTTTGATTCCCATCCTTGAGCTGTTAATTCTACAGACTGCATCCTGGGCGAGAAAACAAACTACTGACTAGACCACATTACAGGATAAGGCATAATTATTGTACAGCCCATCTGGGCTTATCTGCAGCCCACAGGTGGGCTGTATTAGATAGGTGGGTGGATAGACAGATGAAGAGATAGATGGATGGAGGGAGGAAGAAGGGAGAGAAAGAGAGAGCCTACCTTATTAACTTTATTGTTTTTAACAACTCCACAGCGTATAAAACATTTATGCAAGCCTGATGACTCGTGGGGACCAGCATTGCCTGAAAACCGCAAACGCTATCTGGCCGACCTTGACCCCAGCGAATTAGACCTCAGTGTATCTCTGAATCAGATGATCGTCCCACACAAGGGCAGCAATGTCTGTGATGAAGCAACAGTTATCTTCTTGCCTAAGGCATAGACTAGGACCACGAATGACATGTATCCTGCAGCTTTTGCTCTGTGTGTTGGCTCTGTGGATTAGAAACTAGTGAAATAGTTTCACAGTGTGATCATGAATGTTACCAGGGCTCTTTCTCAGCGTGGACAGTTTTAGTGCCAGGCAAAGCACTGTAGATTTATTGGTTACTTAGTACAGTGCAGATCTGATAAGGAGAACTCACTGAGGACCCAACAAAAATGGTTCTCCTTATCAGAAATTCCTCGTATCCAGGTGAGTATTCAAGCAAGAAAATTGCTGTGGATAAATAAATTGTTCTTCACAACATAAATTCACTACATAGGAGATCACTGTAAGGGGTCTGCACTTTATTCGGTATTCGTGTCTTTTCTTCTTCGTCCTCAGTGTTCTGTTATGTTTGCCCATTTAATATAGAGTTCCTATTATAACCCAGTCTGTTACGTAATTGTATTTTTAACTCATTACATTGTAAAGACTTACTGTACAGGACAACACTGTGACAGAAAGTGTTGAAGTAGCAGTAGTAAGGGCCTGAAAGAGTGAACAAAAAAGCAAGAAAGAGAATTTTGTCATAGCTTTGACCCAGGGTTTCGAAAATCGCCCAGTGGAAGAAATCAGAATTTTTATGCAGAATATTCTCACAGTTGGCAGTGGATACATTTCAGCCAACCTCCATTGTGGAGATAGCATTTTTTTTTTCCTTTTTTTTAATCTTTAGAGTGAAGTATTGTACCCCCCCCCCCCCCCCCCCCCCCCCCCCCCCGCTTCATGTGTACCTCATTTTTATTGTTTTTTTGTGTGCAACCCATATCACTGAATAGAAATGAAAATCATGAACATTGTTCCACGCTTTGAGACATAGTGAGTATATGGTTTAAAAAAAAAGTTAGGTGCTTATCCTTTACAGGATGTTGCAGAACTAAACCCAGCATTTGTTGGCTGTTGTGGGTTTTCTAGGCATATTTTACGTTCAGTAGTTTGCCATTGTCTTTCTGAATGGTCAGCTCTCTGTACCACTGTCGAAACCAACACGAGACAAATTGTCGACAGCTGGGATTGAACCCAGCATTACTAAGCGCGTTTTCAACGCTTAAGCTACAGACGCCGACGAGTATATGGTGCTTGATCCATGTTTTGAATCGACCCTCAGTGGATGTTGTGGTTAGTTTCACATCAGCTGCCTTTACTTACTGGATCGCTTCCTGGTACCCGTTCTTGGGTTGGGCTCCCAGGTTCATCCATTCATTGTCCTGTTGTGTCATTAAAAGTTCGATAGAACCCACATTTTGTTCTGTCCTTTGCAATCACCTGCAATCCAATCCACTTCTTCTTCTTCTTCGTGTTCACCAGCTGTAAACTCTGGCCGAAAGTTCTAGTTGTACATCCACTTTCAGACTGCAGTCCTGTTCCAGAACCTGAGTGTTGCATGTGCATCCGTTTTACAGATCTGACTCATTTTTATGCAGACTGCTGGTTCCTTACCTCTCAGGCAGATGCCCTCCGACTTTGAAGGAAGCTCCTAATTAGTCAACTTTCACGACATGCTTTTGGGTAGGCAGTGGGTCAATTTTCTCTCCCCCCCCCCCCCACCCCCCGCCATAATAGGGCCCTGGAACCCACACAGGGAGAACCCAGTCCACTATTTTTGACCTCTTTCATCATTGTCCACCTTTGGGTTTCTCCTGGATGTCCTCTTTTTTTTTTTTACTCAGTCCATTATTTTCCTATTTCAGTGCCTGTTTAGTGATTCTTGCTTGTCTCTTCCCAGAATGTATCCAGCACGGCCCCATTTTCTCTCTAACTGCTGGTGCTAGTTGTTGCTCAGACATTTATCTTATTTCTTTGTTCCTCTTGAATCTATCAATCACTCTTTTTTTTTCTGCTGCTGCCACCTGACTCCGCTTAATCCTGAAATATTTAGTTGTTATCTCTTCATTTCTTCTGTTACCTGGGCAGATTTGATTTCTTGCGCCTTAGTCCTAACATTGCCCACACCAATTCTAGTGGCTGACCCAGCATAAACAAATACCAGAAAATGTCATGGGAAGTAAAGATAGCTGTTGAGGGTATGTTACTGACCATATGTTTCATTTAAAATTAATGTCTAAAAATATGAGAGGTTTGCACTACATATATATCAATATGTCTGAAATTGTGGAAATAAGATCTATACTCATTACGTTGCATACGATACGTTGATGATCAAAATTTGACATTTTTTAAATGGGAATGTTGGTGGAATATTTTGTGTACAGAAAATATTGATCTTTACGACAAAAATATGGATTTGTCCTGAAAAGGGTAGTTCAATTTTGATTTTGGAAATACTTTATTGTGATAGAGTTATGAAATTATTTTCTTATGTGCCCTGAGCTTTTGGTACAAATGTTAATTTGGTGCTGAAATGTTGGTTTTGTTAAAAAATGTTATGTTTGAAAATTGTATAAATTGTATAGATCATGGATTTGAATGTTTTTAGTCCTGGTAACAATCATTCAATGAATGATTGAACATATTCATTCAGTGAATGATATTATTCTTGAATTCAAAATTCCAATGTTTGTACTTTCTTGATAAATTGTTGTCATATTTGTTGTTTTTGTATTTCCCTGATAAAATGTTGTCCATGGTTGTCGATGCTCCACTGTGTTAACATTCCACCATCTAAAGTCACAACTAATACTGTTTGTTGCCCTATTTACAAACTTATTGTAAAGCTAATTATGTGACAATCGTGTGGTTTCCTATTTATGCATACATTGTGTAATTATTAGTAGTAATTTAAACAACGATATCCTATTCAACTCATCAGGGTTCCACTTGGGGTATGTAGTTCTTCTGTCCCATTTTGCTATGTGAAGGAACAAATTAAGAAGAACTTGTAGACTGTGGTGATGTGGTTTCCAAGAAGCATGCTGTAGATACTATAGACAGCCAGAGTAACTTAACAGCTGCCTGCAAATGACAACTCGAATTAGAAAACAATATACAGCTACAAGAAAGAGGCAGCCAGTGTTTTTCAGTCATAGGGTGAGAAGAGAGGCATTGGAGGACATTGTGATGACTGGAAAGATCAGTGGTAGAAGAGGCAGAGGCACACCAAAGAAGACAATGATAGATAGCCTGAAGTGATGACATCAAGGAACATAATCAGTTTGACTGATGTAAAATGCTAAAGCCCGATATCTGTGGAGAGAAGCAAGTGGCTACACCGCCTGGCAGGGCACATTATAATGATGATGATGAATTCGCTGTTGGATATTAATGTTTGCAAATTACAGTGTTATTAAATGGTGTGTAGACTATCAATTGTGCACTGATTTTCTTTATAGGGATACAGAAAGTAACCACTGTTGTTTAGAGACTAGTGTACTCACCTGCCTACATGGTAGTTCTGGGTTCTTACCCGTATTTCTTCCTCTTTTTATGTGTTTGCCCTTAAAAAGGCAGTTGTTTGTTTTATGGTTTATTTCCGTATGGGTTCAGGGAGCTCCATTTTTGAGAGCAAAGTATGGACCCACTGCTTCTGTCACAAGCGTGTCATAGTATGTGGGTGTTTCTTGCAAAACTGAGAGTATATCTGTCTGTGAAGACACTTCCCACAACCCTCTCCCACCCATTGAATAAGTCTTTTAGTGTATGGATTCTTGATATGTTCTGTTGCACTTCAATTTGATACTTGTTTCATCAGATGCATGTTCCTCCCATTTCTGGTAGAACAGATACACCCAGTTCCAGACAACTCTTAATCTAAAACGCATTATATACGGGCACATTTTAATTTAAATAATAAGTTCTTTAATTTATAGCATTTAAGATAATAGCCGTTAAATAGAGGGTTAAAAGGGCAAACCACAGGATACATTGGATTCTTCTTTGTCTTTATGTCCTATTTTACCGCTTTGTATGTAGAGGGAGAAATAAGGTCCTGCTTCATGCTCCGCTTCAACCATAGACACATCGTGGTGCTGTAGAGTTTTCTCTGATTTTATCTTCCCATATATTTTCTTGGTCTACCTCTTGATCTGCGTCCCTTTTCGTATATGCCTTGTATGGTATAGCACCAGAAGGCATTCTCTTCAAGTGGGCAAACCATTTGATTTGCTGTTGGATTGGATTATATTGGATTCAAGTTATTATTGATTAAGGCATGAGGAATTGAGGAAAGCCTTGTGTGTAATGGGAGTAAACAATGATGCTTGGTATAGAATGTGTTAAAAGCCTCATAACCAGGATACGCCGGTGTGTTGGGAAATGAACATGCGGACAGACTGGCTGGCTCTGCACAACTTGGTGGAATACTGATACATGATAAGTCAGACATGGTTAGTGCCTCGTGGGAGAGCGTGTACAGTTCGGAGGAGCAGATGGATCACCACAGTCTGGTGAGATTGATGCAGGGGAAGTGACCAGAGGTTCCGGCAGAATCTCGAGGCTGAGAGGAAAGGCACGACGAACGTTTAATCAGAATGCTACTGGCGCCATTAGTATCAGAACTCTTCACTGGCTGCTGAGGATGGGGACAGAGCGCTTATGAGAATGCCACCAGTGCTGTGATTTCGGTTCTTGAATCAGCTCAACTCAACTCAAAAGCCTGATAGTGTAGCTTGCATGAGCCCAAACTTGATATGACATGAATTCAGCTGCAACAGTGATTCTTGTTAATCTGTACTGCTTTTTTTGTCTTTTCCTGTAGTGTATAGTATTTTTAGCACCTTTTTTTCTGTTTTCTTTCTTCTTCTTTTTTTTTCTTTAAAAAAAAAAAAATGAATATTAAATGTTTTAATTAATTCATTTGTTTGTTTATTATTTGTCTTTACTGCCTGTATATGCTTCTTGGTGGTGAAGGACAACAGGGTCTTGAGCCTGAAGATTTAATTTGCGTAGTTGATAGCGTGCAGTCACTAGGAAATGTGCAGTTGAACTACCATATACAATTCACTCTAGAATTCAAACTTGCCTTCCAGTAAATCCTCGTTAGAGGTTCTTTAACTTTTTTA